TCAGCAATCCTTCGGAGACAACGATGATCGAACACAGAGAGACGTCTAACATCCTCAACTCGGAGAGGCCACTTGGAGGGTGCAAAGCACATGCCGAACCTGCGGACACTGATTGTCAACTGATTAAGTGCGGATTGCATGCCTTGGGCATGCAAGTCCTTGCGGACTTCCGCCTCGTTTGGTGGATCAGTCGTCACCGGCCATGGGGGGCAGGACAAACTGGTTGATGTTGTCGGAGCAGCAGGCCAGTTGAATTGCCCTTCGAAAAATTCCGCCCATCGTCCAAGACGTCGAGAGATGTTAGTGATTGGCATCCCGTCATCCTCGTAGATTGTTTCTCTCACACCAGACTTCTTGCTGCCAATGGCTCGGATGAGTTGGAAGAGCTTCCGGCAGTTACCAGATGCAGCTGCTGCTTCCATCTCATTAGCACGCTCCGACCACCAGGCTTCTCGGTCCTTACGCAAGCTTTGCACGATTGCATTACGTAACAGCCTTCGTTTGTGGTCATACTCACGGTCACCCGGAGTAGACCGACGGGCTTCGATGAGTTGTAAGGAGCCAGAAGAAACCCAGTGCTTGTAAACTGGACGTTTCGCGAAGTCGCAAGCGGCTTTACTCGCCATTTTCATGGCGTCGTGAAGATGCAACCAATGCTCATCTATACTTTTCGGTGGTATGGTAGCTAGCCTAGAGGCTAGCTCCGCTCGATACTTACTTGCAACAGATGTTGCAGCCATTTTGCTAACATCGATCCGTTGGTGGTGGTCAATCCTTCGGCCACTGAAAAGTAAGGTGAGATTGGCGCAGACCAGGGCATGATCAGACTCCAGATAGGTACTGCGAAAGGTGCGGCAGTCCTGTACACAACTACGCCAGCGGTAGCTGATCGCGATGTGATCAATCTGAGTCCAGGCTTGGGATGTAGAGGGAGGACGCCAGGTGGCACACCGGCGATGACTGTACCGGAAGTTAGTGCTGGCTAGAAACTGGTTGTGGTCTGTGCACAGTTGCAGCAATATCTGTCGAACGCGCTTTCTGGAGAAGAACTGTTAACTAGTGGTAAAACTCATCCCTGATTGCATCCGGGCTGCAGTCTGTCGGGGCATAGGCGGAGATGACGAAAAGACACCGTTTCTCACGCCGATTTCTTCTCACTTTGATGGAACTTTCTAATCTAACAGCACATAACCGACTGTTAATGGGGATCCAATCGATTAGTGCTGCCTCAGCTCTAGCGCTTAGTGCAACACCAACGCCTGCAAGACCAGACGAAGATGCCATAGAGTCCCCGGATATGCGCACGTGAAACAAGCTTTTCGAAGCGACAGATGGAAAGCGAATTTTTAGTACTTCACTAGAGTCTTGAATACGGGTCTCGGATAGACAGCAAACATCAACATTAAGACTTTCTAAAGACATAGCCAGCCCCATCTGTTGTCCGATCTGCATTAGTGTGCGAACGTTGAAGGAAGCCAGCTTGAACGGCGTACGTGGTTTCAGAAAGACTGCTTCAGTATTCATAATCGGTGGAAGCATTCACTTTCAACCATACAGTGACTGGAGATCGTTTAGATAGGACAGATTTTCCACTAAGAGCGAGCTGCTGCATAAGTTGGAAAGGAAGGATACACAGTTTGGGAATAAAGGGAGTGAAAAAGCGACGTAGTAAATAATAATAATAATAATAATAATAATAATAATAATAATAATAATAATAATAATAATAATAATAATAATAATAATAATAATGTAAATTGTCTTGGTTCTAGTATGAGCGAGAATAGTATCGTCAATAGAATTCATCATTTCATTTATTTGCGTGTGAGCTGTGATACTGCCCGGGTGCCCAAACCGAAGCAGGTGGTTTTCTTAGGGGGCCACACCCCGAGCCTTTGACCAAAAGGTCTGATCCACAAGGCAGTGGAGCATCGTGAGGAGATGCAGTCCCATGGTAGCCGGTGACCAACAACAGGTTCATTCGTTCCATCAGGATACTGGAGCCCATGTGCACAATTGGTTTGGAATCAGGGTTTTCCAACTCCCCTAGGTGGACTCTCCGTGTCCACCAACCCGGTTAAATCGCCGGACATTTGCTTTTCGTCCTCTCACTTTCGTAAGCAACACTCCCGCCACGAGAAGGCAGTGAGTAGGACTTCCCTGGCAGAGGCTATATATTCGCGTGGCCATGTGAGAGCATTTCGAGAGGGAGAGCTGACTCTCCCCACTCTCTCAATGTCATTTCTGTCAAGGTGATTCATAAGCGACATGTATGTAAATTTGTGTATGTATGTGTGCACTGTTAAGGATGAGAATTGTGTGACTTTTATGGTGAGAAAGGAGAGTTCAATTTGTGAGATAATAGTGTGAATTGTAAATAATATCAGACTAGGTGGCTAGGATAGATAGTCCAAGTAGGATGCATGGTAAGGCCTTCCTTTCTATTGAGAGAAGTAGGATTAAGCATTATATGAAACGCTTCAGCTACTCTCCTTTCTTTGTAATTGGAAAAGCCTTTTTGTAATATTTTGATATTTTTTCAAATCGTTGAGAATGACGTGAACTGTTATCACCGATTTAATTTGAAGTCAATTGAAATCAATGTAACGATTAGAGTGTGTAAGTTTTTGGTAGATGGATAGATTTAGAATCCCATTTAGATTTCTTTTCACTAAACAATCTAGAAATGGTAGCTCACCATGTTCATTCTCATTCGTGAATTTGATGTGCTATGAAAGTGTATTGATCCGTTTCGAAAAAGATCTCAGATGAGTCTTTTTTATCACAAGAAGGGTATCATCTACATATCAAAGCCAAATTCGTGGTTTAATATCGTTGGTGAAAATATTTATCTCTGTGTTATGTTTGAAGCGATTACGAGTTCCCTAGTCTGAGAACGGGAAAAAGACTGACCAAAGATCAATAAACTAGCTATCGTGACGCGTCCCAGCCCCGCTAACTAGAGTAAGAAGTCCAAGTCTGAGGTATGGAAATATATTCCGCAAGCAGCCAGAACCACAAGCAATCACGTCAAGTCTAGTCGGAAATACACGTATTTATATATTGGCTTGTATACCCATTTTTGGTTAATAATCAGAATAAAACACATATGCAAAATACCTCATTCAAGAATATCTTACAGAATAAAATGTCATAAGGGGGAACAAAACAAATTCTAAACTGAGTGATCATCAAAGTGAAGTAAACGGAATTGGTGTTGAGTAAAAATCATAATTAGTTATCATCAAAAGGGGTTTTGTGGAGATTTCAGTATTTTCATATTTGAAATCATGAGTCAATTGAAGCTACACCACTAAGGAAAACCTGGAGGCACTGCTTGACGGCAGTTTCGTCCTATTATGGGACTCCTCAGCAGTGCGCATACACGGTCCCGCCTCGCGAGATTCGACATCGTGTGTTCGGGCGCAGAGACGATAATTCAGTTGGTGTCACCATCTTGAAACACCGACTTCGGTGGATTGGACATGTTTTACGAATGTCGTCCCAGAGACTTCCACGTCGTGCATTATTTGCCGACTCTGAGACTGGTTGGAAAAAGCGGAGAGGAGGTCAGTGTATGACATGGTGTCGTGGCATGAAAGAGAGCTGCAAAGGGCTAGCTTCTGTTGGTCCTTCACGACTCCCTGGCTGGGGTCCGAGAGATGGTGCAACACAGTGGCTAGAGACGTTATCAGATATGGCTTAGAATAGAAGCCAGTGGCGATCCTGCTGCAACCTTCCTTTACTTTCTACATAAAGAGTGGCTATAACTTTCCTAACTGAGAGAGCTCTTCTGGTTGTACATTCAGTTCCCCCCATCATTACTCTTCTTCTTTTCTTTTTCTTTTATATATACGCATCTTCTTCCTTCTCCCATTCTCATTATTTTGTGTGGCGCATATGTATCCGGTGCCCTTTGTACCAATATATATGTGATTAAATAAATAAATAAATTCATGTTGTTCCGTTGTACTGTTTAATCTTTGATTTATTTTCTTTGAAGAAGTGAAGAAGAGTCACGAAACGTCAGAAAATCTAATTTTACTACTCATTCGGATATTAAAAATATATTATTTATTTATAACAATCAACCTGATGCTCAATTTATTTGAAATTATGTCAAACCTTGGTAATGATACCTGCCCGTAATATTATTTGAACGATTGCAAAGGATTTTGAGCTACGCGAGACAGTCTCTTGCCATTTGCGACAATAATAACGCGGGCACCAACCAGGTAATGTACACCTGATACGGTGACTCACCCTAATTTTCAACGACTTTAGGGATTGGTTAGGTAACGCTTAGCTTTATTTTATCATATTCATATATCAGGTGTTAGCAGGACAAAGACTTGATCAAAGCATTTTTCTGGAGAGATCACTACGGAGCACGCTAAGATAAAAATGAACTAATCAGCGCTAGCGGATTAGCTGAGGGGACTCTGGATTATATATTAATTATCTTGCTATTTTATTTTGGAATATATCCGCATTCAATCCAAGTCGTTTTTCAGCAATAATAGGGTGAACAGCAGGAATTGACAGCAGACAATGTCGCGCATCGAAGGCAGGATATGTATATGTAACACATGTTCCAACTACATCAGTGGATGAAGATTCACTACCTCATCAACAGACTTGCCACCTTTACATAGTACTCTGCACCTAACCTTTAGATTGCTCACTCAGCGGTCCCAAAACATAAGAGCAATGCTTTGAGACACCTATGGTCGGATACTAGTGACCCACTAAAGTCGTCTATTCTTAAGGGCTATGTTTCGCACCCACAAAGTAGGGCAAAGCGAACTACTGTACAGTAAACTCGTACTTTGGTTGACGGACGATTAATTATGCCAGGAGTGTGACATGTATTTAAATACAGAAGGGATTAAAGGTAATCCTTTTTTCTGTGAGAGATCTGGCGTTCAAACCAAGTATTTCAGGAATGAATAACTGACGCACTGTCATTCTTTTAATGAGTACAGTTAGTCAATAAATAGTTTTCATTTGAATTATGTATGAACGTAATTTATGAGGTTGATAAAAAAACCCGTTGTCTATAATAGATAAAAATAATAGACTTGTTACCATATATGGAAAGCTGAAAACCCATAGATATAACCTACGTGTATGTTTATTAGTAATCACAACCCAAATAGTGAATAGCATAAACGTTTACATTGCGTAAATATTCAACCGATTAAGTACAATAAGATAAAAGTTACTTCATGAGATTACAGGTAAGATTGCGAGTTAAACATGCAAGGTATAAATACCTTGTTAGTGAGATGACACAAATATCAGATGTTACTCATTATTATAAGTCTTAAAGATTTATAGTATCATCGTTGTTTTGGACCTGCTGTAAGACTGATCGTCATCTTCACGTTCTTCATCTTCCTCCTTTATTGGTTCATGAAGAAGACGGTTTACTGCGGGAGTATTAGGAGTAACAGTTAATAACCCAGTATCCATAGCCGTATGATCATCCAAAACATTCATTCTCGACATATTATCAGTTTCGCTGGGAACAACGCTCTCAGTTGGGATCAACCTAGTAGGAATATTTATCGTACTATTTCGAGTTAAATGACGCGCAGTTGTTAAATCCTAAAAAGAAAAATTGGAAATGAAACTATGTATAAGCAATAGATTAGATTTTATTGGATATAGACACCAATCTCTATGGAAAAGATGTATAAAATTGTTTAGTTGATAATCCTTTACAAATAGATATATTGATCTATTACACTACACAACATGATAAAAACATGTTTCGAGGCATGTGAGCATTTGTATGTCAAGTTCTAGTTATGGGGCTTCACAAACGAAACGTCCCCCTAAGGGGTAGAGTCAAAGGAAAATCTGTTATAATTTATAGGAATTGGAAGATTTAAGAAATGTGTAATAGTAGCTTCAAGTGATGCTCATTTAATGCCAACCAAAAAGGTAATAGGATAAATAGGACTGTTGATTGTCATTATAACGATAGTAAAATTTTAGGTTCATCATTTTTCGGCAAAACCATAAGAGTAGTCTAAGTGAAGGAAAAAAGACTACACGTAAAGTATGATTCGGGAAGAATGGGTGTGTTGTTTTGGTACACCTTTCAATGATAAACTACCACAAAATCTCACAGTCTACGTAGTCCAACTCCGCCTTCAGTTGAAGAAATGCAATCATACAAGACCACCGGTGAGTATGAATTTGTGAAGAGTGACTATTTGACTGATACATCTAACCCTACGTCTGAAAACAACCTGGTTCTCCCTAATCGAAAAGCTCATTTCGATTTGATATTCAGGATTTTTTGAAGTAGTAAGGTAGCTGGATACCATCTGAATTCCTTATCGAAGTATTCAACCTATTGTTACAATCTTCTAGGCTGATTACAGAATATGAGTCTTTTTCGCAGATAGTTCTACCGACAGTTGCATTTTTTAGTAAATCTTTCTTCGAAAATTCTGTCAGTGATGGATACAGTTTCTTATGCTAATATTTAGCTCTAACATATAAACAAATAGAAATACTTATTCCTTGAGAAACTCAATCGATAAATTTCAACAAAGTAACTGAACTGAACTTCCATCATATAGATAATGGATGACAGATTTAATTTCCAACTTACTTGTGAATGACCAATTAGTGATAAAGATAGTGCAGATCCAATCATATCAGGAGTGAAAGGAATGCTACAAAACACACAAACGGGGTATATAAATGCAGACAATTTAGAGACAAAGAGCAATGAAACCATTGATCAATATGAATCATAGTAGGTATTTGAATGTAGCAATAAGTTAACACAGATTGAAGTTATACAAAAGCTGATTATGAAAAAACAGAAGCTCTTTTAACTTTTTGAATAATCACACATACGAAATTATAACTACCTTACGCCTGTTAAACCTCGTGCGGCAGCATAAGCCGCCAACTAGCATTCTCCATCGAACTACGTCCTGGACAATCCCTTCCAGCTGCCATTCATTCTCTTAATGTCTGCTTACTATTTCCGACGCAATGTGTTCCTTGGTCTTTCTCTTTTTCTTTTCCCTTTAAAATTCCAAGTTAGAGCTTGCCTCGAGATTCAGTTTGATAAATTCCGCAATGTGACATATCCACTTGCAGCGTCTTCTCCTGATTCCCTATTCAGTTGGAAGCTGCTTTCTTCTCTCTCCCAGTAGACTGCTGCTGATAGTATGCGGCCAACAAACATTGAGTATGCTGCGTAGATAGCTGTTTATGAATACCTGTACACCTTTCATTTTGGTTACAGTAGTTCTCTAAGTATCAACTACGCACAATAGAAATTTTTTGACGTTCATATTGAAGATTATGGCTTCGGTCTCGGGTGACGGTTGTTTTTAATTCCAAGTGATCCTTGATTGTGAGAATGCTGCCCTTGCTTTGCCAAGCCTCATCTTCACGTCTGCATCAGACCCTTCTAGTTCATCGACTATGCTGTCCAGGTGCGTGAAAGTCTCCACCTCTTCCAGAGCTTCTTCAAGTGTGATTGGGTTGGTGCTCTCCGTGTTGTATTTAAGGATCTTGCTGGTGTGTATGGAATAGAAGGGCTAGGTCATCTGCGAAGTGTGAATCGTCTAGTTGCATCCAAGCTGTCCATTGTATTCTATGCTTCTCCTGAGATGTGTACGTCTTCACAATCCAGTTGACCACCAAGAGAAAGAGAGTGAGCAGCTCTATATGACACTGATATTCACTTGGAATGAGTCTGTCAGCCGTCTTCCATGCACGACTTTGCAGTGTAGTCCGTCGTACGAATTCCGTATGATGTTGACGATCTTCTCAGGTACACCATAGTGTCTGTCGAGGAAAGTTTTATAAGCTTCTCGTATCCATATTGTCAAACGCCTTCTCATAATCAAGGAAGTCGAAATGCAGTGACGAATTCCACTCAAAAGATTACTCAACAATGACTGATCCTTACGGAATCCAGCCTGTTGATTTCGAAGTTGGTCGTCTATTGATTCATTCGGTTGATAACACTTTATAATATTAAATATATATATATATATATATATATATATATATATATATTTCAATCAATACTGTGGTTTACTTTATGTTATATGTCGATCCTCTAAATGGGCGAGAAGCCAGTCGTTTGGATTCCTGTGTGTGGGGTAATTCGATGACGGACTGTTGCCAGTGGAAATCTCGTACAATAGCTGGAGCGCTTGTTTTCATTCCATCAACAATACACCATCCAGTCTGAGGTCAACATCGAAAATGTCTTGTTAGCACTAAATTTATATTCGTCGAATAAAAATCTATCGTATTAACACAGATTGAACGGATATATGGTTTTTAAAAAATAAGAAACTTACAAAACAAAAGGTAACAAGAAACCAAGTGCAAATTTGCATACCAGATATTATGAGCTACATACATCCAGATTAAAGATATTTCTGGGAGAAATATGAACACTTAAGCCAATAAATAGAAGTCACAAGAGTTACTAAACAAAGTTAAGTAGTATTCTTAAACACTAATTATTGCACATCGATCGTCCACACTCAATTACTAATAAATCTCTGTTTACACATGTTCCGTATCTAGTAACTTTCCGACTAATTTACTTGAGGACAATAAAACCATTCATGATTAATCGACTCTGGACTAACTGTCATTATCTTAACTTTACAACTAGTTATAGACGACTATAGCCATCTGCGCAGTTGATGAAATATAAGTTCATAGTAACTGATGCTGAAAGGTATCATTGCTGGTCAAATCAATTCACAAAAATTGAATGAAGTCAAACAGTTTGCACTTAATACTTACTTTCCAATTAAAATCTATCACCTCATTAATATCAATATCTTCGTCATTTTCCCCCATAGGATTAACCAGTGTTTCGGCAACCTGTACAAAAGAGAAACTAACTCTTTATTTCTGTGGAGAAAATTTGACAGAAAACTAACTTAAATTTACACAATAACGCAACAGTACTTAATACAAGTAGTTAAGATTATTCTAATTGAAAAAATTATATTGCAGATCAAATATGGCAGGATATAGGAAACACCAAAGAGATTGATGCCAAGGAAAATGAATATCAACTTGTTAAGGTAAAGTTAGTTTAATTAAATAACGAAAGAATTACACACCAAAAGTTAGTTTATTCATTAGACATAGAATTGACATTTTCAACATAATTGTTTACATACAGTAGCAAGCAATGTGGTGAATCACGTGGAACAAAATTGTTAAGAAAATAAATTAACTGATTAATCTACCACTATTGATATAGAAGGGGTACTACAAACTTTTTATATTGTTCTATTTAAATATGAACGCGTTAAACAAACTCACTGAAGAAAAACAAATAAATGATTCACTATTTGATGATGCTTAGAGGCACAGGCAGATTTTCTAACAAGATGAGTTTACAATATTTCCTTCGGATTTAAAAATAACAATAGAATTTTCGATTCTAAGTAAATTATATAAACAACAAAGTTTATTAATTATATGACTAAATTCACATTGAAAATTGCTTATAACAGATACAAACTGGTCGCCTGAAGAAATAATGATCATGAAAAACATAGATATCAGTGGGTGGTGAAATATTCCAGAAACGATCTCAAAAATACCCATGAAAAGTAAAAGTCGGTTTTGTACAACTTTCCGTAGATCATACTCCGACGTCAAAAATCATTTAGGTGCTTAACTAGGCGATTCAACAATGTAATAGTATCCTGGAAACAAACAAGATATCTCCTCACTTAAAAAGCCATAACATCACCGTTTTTCCGCGTGTTTTAAATAGGAAAGAGACTATCGTGGAAATCTCGATACTCCTACTCCTACTTTTCCTTTTCTTGATTCCTGTGACAACAGACCACAACGAGAGATATGAGACAACCCAGGGTGCGTTGTGTATGCAAGAACTAACAATCATCCGTGATCTAAAATATTAGTCAAATAAGGTAAGGAAACGTCACTGTCATTGAATTTACCTCGGTCTTCACTACACAGTTTATAGCTTATAAAATTCATCTCTGAGATCTAAGAATTTGGCACACAGGTCATGTTAGCGCAAAACCATAAAGATAAAATTCAATGGAAATGAAGAACGGGCGTTTCTTCATTGAATCCACAGAAGAAAACAGCTTGATGCTGCTAAATTACTAGGGGTCAGTAAGTACCTTTCTTGTTCCTTTACGAATGTCAAGTACAGTTCTAATGGGACCTATAATTTCGTTTTGAATTCCATGTTCGGGAAATCAGATTAATGATTACTTGACATAGCAGTTTACTGAAAACAGTTATCATTTAGTCAAGATACATTTATAACATAATCTCTGTTTGCTTACCAAATGATGTGATGGAAACTTTGTTCACTTATAAAGAACAGAATCCAAACCACTACAAAGTATATTTGTTCGGTTAGAATCGTCAAGCCATTAATTCTTTAGGTTCAACAAAAGTATTTCTAAGAATTTTTTTCATAGAGTGATAAAGATCACTTAAAAACAAACTGATAGTAACTTACGCCATTCAAGTGACTCCTACTTGATAACACAACCCAAAATGAAGTGACGAGATTTCACATACGTTTTTTAAATCGTTAGCCCCCAAATGCCCTGGTACGGCTGAGAGTGGGGAGAGTCAGCTCTCCCTCTCGAAATGCTCTCACATGGCCACGCGAATATATAGCCTCTGCCAGGGAAGTCCTACTCACTGCCTTCTCGTGGCGGGAGTGTTGCTTACGAAAGTGAGAGGACGAAAAGCAAATGTCCGGCGATTTAACCGGGTTGGTGGACACGGAGAGTCCACCTAGGGGAGTTGGAAAACCCTGATTCCAAACCAATTGTGCACATGGGCTCCAGTATCCTGATGGAACGAATGAACCTGTTGTTGGTCACCGGCTACCATGGGACTGCATCTCCTCACGATGCTCCACTGACTTGTGGATCAGACCTTTTGGTCAAAGGCTCGGGGTGTGGCCCCCTAAGAAAACCACCTGCTTCGGTTTGGGCACCCGGGCAGTATCACAGCCCACACGCAAATAAATGAAATGATGAATTCTATTGACGATACTATTCTCGCTCATACTAGAACCAAGACAATTTACATTATTATTATTATTATTATTATTATTATTATTATTATTATTATTTACTACGTCGCTTTTTCACTCCCTTTATTCCCAAACTGTGTATCCTTCCTTTCCAACTTATGCAGCAGCTCGCTCTTAGTGGAAAATCTGTCCTATCTAAACGATCTCCAGTCACTGTATGGTTGAAAGTGAATGCTTCCACCGATTATGAATACTGAAGCAGTCTTTCTGAAACCACGTACGCCGTTCAAGCTGGCTTCCTTCAACGTTCGCACACTAATGCAGATCGGACAACAGATGGGGCTGGCTATGTCTTTAGAAAGTCTTAATGTTGATGTTTGCTGTCTATCCGAGACCCGTATTCAAGACTCTAGTGAAGTACTAAAAATTCGCTTTTCATCTGTCGCTTCGAAAAGCTTGTTTCACGTGCGCTTATCCGGGGACTCTATGGCATCTTCGTCTGGTCTTGCAGGCGTTGGTGTTGCACTAAGCGCCAGCTGGCATCCTCCCTCTACATCCCAAGCCTGGACTCAGATTGATCACATCGCGATCAGCTACCGCTGGCGTGGTTGTGTACAGGACTGCCGCACCTTTCGCAGTACCTTCCTGGAGTCTGATCATGCCCTGGTCTGCGCCAATCTCACCTTACTTTTCAGTGGCCGAAGGATTGACCACCACCAACGGATCGATGTTAGCAAAATGGCTGCAACATCTGTTGCAAGTAAGTATCGAGCGGAGCTAGCCTCTAGGCTAGCTACCATACCACCGAAAAGTATAGATGAGCATTGGTTGCATCTTCACGACGCCATGAAAATGGCGAGTAAAGCCGCTTGCGACTTCGCGAAACGTCCAGTTTACAAGCACTGGGTTTCTTCTGGCTCCTTACAACTCATCGAAGCCCGTCGGTCTACTCCGGGTGACCGTGAGTATGACCACAAACGAAGGCTGTTACGTAATGCAATCGTGCAAAGCTTGCGTAAGGACCGAGAAGCCTGGTGGTCGGAGCGTGCTAATGAGATGGAAGCAGCAGCTGCATCTGGTAACTGCCGGAAGCTCTTCCAACTCATCCGAGCCATTGGCAGCAAGAAGTCTGGTGTGAGAGAAACAATCTACGAGGATGACGGGATGCCAATCACTAACATCTCTCGACGTCTTGGACGATGGGCGGAATTTTTCGAAGGGCAATTCAACTGGCCTGCTGCTCCGACAACATCAACCAGTTTGTCCTGCCCCCCATGGCCGGTGACGACTGATCCACCAAACGAGGCGGAAGTCCGCAAGGACTTGCATGCCCAAGGCATGCAATCCGCACTTAATCAGTTGACAATCAGTGTCCGCAGGTTCGGCATGTGCTTTGCACCCTCCAAGTGGCCTCTCCGAGTTGAGGATGTTAGACGTCTCTCTGTGTTCGATCATCGTTGTCTCCGAAGGATTGCTGACATTCAGTGGCAACACCATGTTAGTAATGCAGAGGTTCGGCATCGTGTGTTCGGGCGCAGAGACGATAATTCAGTTGGTGTCACCATCTTGAAACACCGACTTCGGTGGATTGGACATGTTTTACGAATGTCGTCCCAGAGACTTCCACGTCGTGCATTATTTGCCGACTTTGGGACTGGTTGGAAAAAGCGGAGAGGAGGTCAGTGTATGACATGGTGTCGTGGCATGAAAGAGAGCTGCAAAGGGCTAGCTTCTGTTGGTCCTTCACGACTCCCTGGCTGGGGTCCGAGAGATGGTGCAACACAGTGGCTACAGACGTTATCATATATGGCTTAGAATAGAAGCCAGTGGCGATCCTGCTGCAACCTTCCTTTACTTTCTACATAAAGAGTGGTTCTAACTTTCTTAACTGAAAGAGTCTTCTGGTTGTACATTTCAGTCCGCCTTATCTTTTCATCCCTTCTCTTCCTACTTTCATTATTTTGTGTGGCGCATGTATCTGGTGTCCTTTTGTACCAATATATATGTGTTTAAATAAATAAATAAAAATAAATAGCTCGAAAGACTTATTTACTTATATAGAGACAGTGACTTACCAACAGTTTTTTGTATCAAGAGGTACAAGTACCTGGTAATAACTGCTAAGTCTTCTTAGTCATCATATATACTTAAAATTATACGTAATCAACACGGCTATAATTGAAATGAACAGTATGTATATGTACAATCAAAACAAGTGAGGGACCCATTGATCACATAGAAAATATGCGTTGGATGGCAAAATCTGAATGAATCATGTTAATGGAATGATGATCACTAATTACACTTCATTTTAGTTTTCGTTTGTTCGATACTTAATATCGGTAGGAGACAAAGGTCAGCTTATAAGCGATACAAGCAATAACATGTGATAACTATATTAAAGAGCTATTGAATCCTTCACTGAATAACAATGTATCTCCAAGGAATAGTAGAATTATTCCAAAGAGAGCCCTTACAGCTATACTTGGAAACATCATATCGGCATAAGTCCTTAGTTCTTAGAAGTAAAAACGTGACTCAATTAGGTATGAAGAGGAAAAGTAACCCAAAAATAGGCTAAGCTATATTGATAAAACTAATCTCTGTGTATCGATTTCTCATATATCTAGCTTTACAATGAACTACTTCTTACTTTAAGTATAAAAAACTAATACTTTCGTACATGAATTTCTTTGGTAAATTAATCACTATATTTTAGCTTACTTATTAACAGATTCGGAAGTGAAACGTTTCGAGCCATCCTAGGGTTACTGCCCGTCCTAAGGTCGGATAAAGAAGGGTTGGGTATGGAACCAGCAACTCTATCTCATAGAAAATAACCTTGCTAAAAAACGCTAACCAGAAAAAACAGTTTGAACCATTCAAACTCTGTTCTCCGAGTTGAAGGATCTTGTAGTGAAAACTGAGATTCTTCGGAACTTTCGAGGCCGAAGCCCCTTTTGAAAACCAACGCAACAATTGACATAGGTACATTGGAAGTCCGCACAATGTGGGAGGACCAGTCAAATAGCTGGGGGAACGAAAAGATACAACCTGGTGATGCTTGGAATAAGTGAAACACATTGGAGGCAAGCTCGACAAGAAAGAGTAACTTCAGGAGACGTGCTGTTGTGATCTGGTCACGAATAAGATAATGCTTCGCACACACAAGGTATTCCACTGATACTGTTCAAAGAAGCATGCAAAGCACTTGCAGGATAGGAACCTTATAGATGCAGGATCATTAACGCATCCTTTAAAACAAAGGAGGGGATTACAATGAATGTCATTCAGTGCTCTGCACCCACTAACGATAGTCAGTAAGTCAGCTACAACGTAGGACCAGGCCCATATATGCATCGGTCCAAGTTGCCATACCTCGTTAGCACAACAAGACGAACACCGGATTCATAGAAGTAATTAATTTAGTGGTGGTAGTATATCAAGAAAGGTTGTATATAAGGATATAGTACAGGAAGAAAGACGGATATGAAGCAATTTTAATCTTAAGGTTTAAGGGAAGATAGAGAGTGTATACACCTGAGCCATTGTGATAGATTCTGAGCCATGTCACACAGAGTCTCCAATCATAGGTTACGATAGTCGCGCGGACTCCAACCACGTAGCCTGCATCTGCCAACATGGCTCAGACTAGAAGTTAGTGACTTCAAGCTCTGATGCCACGTTTTGGTTTGGCAACCCCTAAATTTCTTCCAACTATCGAAAATACTAGTCAGCAAAGCGAGTCGTGGTAATCGGTGTTCAAGCATACGTAACACATGGCCCAACCATCTCAGTCGATGAAGATTCATCACCTTATCAACTGATTTACCATCGTTCCCTAATACCCTGCGTCTAACCTCACTATTACTTACCCGGTTATCCCAGCAGATGCGAGCAATATTTCTAAGGCATCTGTGGTCAAATACTAGTAACCTACGAGTATCTTCTACTCTTAATGGCCATGTTTCACAGCCATAAAGTAGAACAGAGCGAACTGCTGCGCAGTATACTCGTCCCTTAATTGGTAGATAGATATCTCGTCCTCGCCATAGGTGACGTAAGTTGGCAAAAGCCAAACGCGTTCGACTACTTCACTCCGTATCCGTAATTCGGGTGTTGACGCAGGCCAGTCCTGGAGTAACAATTTACATTTGGATGGGGAGAAACGCATCCCAAACATCCTGGCATTGTTACTCAGTTCTAACAGAAGACTCTGCATTTTGTCAGCGTCTTCACCAAATAGGACTATGTCATCTGCGTATTCTAAATCGATTAGTGGACCCCCTGGTAGGAGATCAATTCCTGAAAATTCAGTCAAAGAGTGTGTTATTTCCAGCAATAGGTCTATAATAAAGTTAAACAAAAATGGTGATAGTGGACAGCCTTGTCGGACACCACTTGAGGTTGTAAAATCATATGACAGTTCGCCATAAGCTCTCACTCGACTTGTAGTGTTCGAGTAAAGAGCCTTCACAAGGTTTATGTACTTCTCAGGTACACCTTTCAATGACAGACACTGCCACAAAACCTCTCGGTCTACAGAGTTAAATGCTGCTTTTAAGTCAAGAAAAACTATCATTGTCTGACGCCAATAAGCGCGTCTGTGTTCTAAAACCTGACGAATAGTGAATAAGTGGTCGATACAGCTACGACCATGTCTGAAGCCAGCCTGATTTTCTCGTGTTTGTAGTTCACTAGTCTTTCTTGGGCGCCCGATAATTAATGATGCTAGTAGTTTAGATGTTATATTAGTGAAACTAATCCCTTTATGGCTATTACAGGATGATTTGGATCCTTTCTTATATATTGGGACAATCAGTGATTGTGATCAGTCAGATGGGATTACGTCCAAGTCCCATGTTTTAGCTAAAATATTAGTCAACCCAATCGCTAAAATTGGACCACCATATTTAAAGACATCTGAAGCCAATCTATCTGGACTAGCTGCTCTTCCTCGTTTCAGATTAGCTATAGCTTTTTGAACTTCAACTAGAGTTGTGGGACCTACTTCAATGTTCCATTCAGACTGTTTGGGAATGGTGGGTAACTGTAGAGTAGCTGAAGGCCAGCTAAAGTGTTCTGCCTATCGTTCTAAACGTCTGGGCTGAGAGAAGATAAGAGTCTCATCTTTTTCCGAGATTGTCTCACTTACACTCGACTTCTTAATTCCGGTTTCTTTTATTAGTCTGAAGAGTTGCCTGATGTTGCCTACAGCCGCTGCCTTTTCCATCTCTTTTGCTTTCGTTGCCCACAACTGCTCACGATCTTTCCGTAGACTTTTGTTTAACCTAGATCTGATTTGCTTTCGCTTTTTATCGTGTTCAGAGCCTGATGGGATGAGTTTATGAAAATCCATCAGTGCAACAGACTTAGAAACCCACTGGTTTTTTTAAACCCTTTGGTTCAAATTACTAATAGATGTTACTGCTGTTTCCACAGCTGTTTGTATATCTTACCAAGCAACATCTGGGTCAGTCTCGTTCACAGAGCTGCCTAAATGTGAACTCAGTTGTTCCTGGAACTTACTTTTGACTTTCTCGTCCTCCAGTTCAATCCTAATGGGTCTACTTAGTGTGGTTTTTCTGCGTCCAGTGAGGTGCAAACAAATGCGTGCTCGTATTAAAGCGTGACCAGAGTCTAAACATGTATTCCAGTACGAGCGACAATCTTCTATCGAGCCTCTCCAACGATGACTTATGGCAATATGGTCTATTTGAGTTCATCGTTGGTTTGGTGCAGGTGGTCGCCATGTTAGACGATGTCTCTCCTTATGCTTAAAGTTAGTGTTTGCTGAAAATAAACGATTGTCTGAGCATAGTTGCAACAGACGATCACTATTATCTGTTCGCTAAGTCGGAATACTAAAATACCCACCTAAATGTCTTTCTGTGTGGTTTAAGCTACCTACTTGCGCATTAAAGTTATCTGCTACGAGTACTATGTCTGAGCGTTTAGCTCTTTGAAGAAGTTCGGAAGCTTTCTGTAAAAGTCATCTTTCACTTCATCTGGGCGACGAAAACGTTAAGATTCGGAGGATCAGTCTCTGAAGACACAACGAAAGTATCAAGTACAAAAGTGACAAGTAGGTAAGGTAAAGTAAAGTAAGTAAGTAAGATAGTGAACCCGCTTAACTGATTCTATATAATAGTAAAGATAGTATACGACTAGAATTATGATACCACTTACCTTTAACAATCCCATATACACTATGAACTCTAGGAACATAAAGAAAGGAAAATAGAGACCTTGTGAATTTGTTCGCGAACTATCGATTATAAACTGACGACCAACAAGTGAGGCTATGAAATAAATGTACACTGCCAATGTGACGACCTATTAAAACATAAAAAGTAATTTAAGATTTATAACTAATATGTGCTTTTCTATCTAGATAAGTGCAATTAGGTGATAAAACATGAACATAGAACAAATATTTCAGTGAAAAATATGAACGATCACATATCTAAACTGTTTATTTAGCTGAATTTTACTTTTATAGTGTAGTTTATGTCATGTATTTGCTAATCACAAAAGTGGACGACCTACCAGAAGTCAATAAATCCGAAAATATAACATATATTAGTACAGCAGGAATAAAATGGAAATAAGATAGAACAAAATTGAGAGACAATAATAAATGTATTTTATTTTGTTATATCCCAGTGAATAGGAAAATTGTATTTCTGACGTTTCGTGACTTAAGGTAAGCCACTTCTTCAGAATTTAATTAACACAAGTTTGAACTTGTATTAATTCAATTTGGTCATTTATTTACTCTGAAAGAGTGGCTTACATTGAGCCAAGAAACGTCAGAAATACGATTTTCCTACTCATTGGGATATAACAAAAATGTATTTATTACTAACTTTCTACCCAATGCTCAATTTATTTGAAACTACGAAGTTCAACCTTGGCATTGATACCTACAAAATTGAAAGGTGCTTGAAATTTAGGTTCGTAGTCAAAACGTTAGCTTATCTGAGTAGCCGCATGAATTTCTGGAGTGGTTGTGCAACAGACAACAAGCTTAAATTGATCTGGGTAATCTTTGGCCACATAGTGATGTTAATCTAATCATGTAAGGTTGTGTGAACATCACTTTCGTATTCCATACTTGCGAGGTTTGGCCGTTCCGAGTTGCAGACGTTTCATGGCTTCCTGTGTTTTATTGTTGCTTTTTCTGAATGATTGCTCACACTGATTTATTTGTATTGGTCATTTGAATCTTTCCATTGATGTTTAGGACTGCAATTGACCAATCACCTTTAGTATATATTCTTTTTCTGAAGATTAATACGATATTTCCATTAAGCTACAAGCAGTATGAGGAAATTAAGATGGTGGTTAGCAGCGGAATCCGTACTAGCTGCGGAAATACAGAAAGTGGTTTCAGACTAATGTAGCTTATTATACGACTAATGGAACCATTCTAGAATACCAACGATTGCGGCTAGAGTGGCGTTCATATTAGACACTACGTAAAAGGTAAAAAAAATAGGACTGTCAGTCTATATAATGGCTTCACATAATGAAAGAAAATTACGTTTGATTAAGGTCTGGTGTTACACACATATTTCTTGAATAGGATACCACAAACTACTCAGGATCGAAGTTAGTCAAGGCTCTGTCGTCATTTGTATGTTCTTCACAAATGATTAGTTGTGTTTTAGGAGAAGAGGTATCTATTTCTTATTTAGACGGTTGTGAGAAAATATTTTCATACGGTCCACTGCAGACGTTCGGTAAATGAACTACAATCATGCCTCCACATAACATTTATGATTCTCGAAACTTACAAATTGAAGTGGAAATACTGCATATCATACTTTTTTACAGAATGGTTGCTAACATAATTAGAGTGGGAAAAATATGATATAGTGTTAGAAAAGTGAATGTATGAAAACAACATCAAATGTACCATTTATCGGAGTATGAGGTGTGCAGATGCTGTATGAAAAGGTTTATTAAAAAAAAACTAACCTGTGTGTAAACCAATGGGATGCAAACAAAATCGATCATAAACATATCCAACAGACCCTGACGAAAGTTATTTATTTCCTGATAATTAAAAATAAAAATGCCAACTTTAAAGTTAAAATTAAACACAAAACTAAGTACAAGCAAATTGTTTTCATAGGGTGTTCACAGACAATTTGGGATTCGTCTAGATTAGTATAATTAAAGGAAAACAGCTGCGAAATGATCTAATACAAAGTATGTTGGATAAAAGTGGTACTTTTAGTCGGTCAATTTGATTTTAAACCATTTGTCTATACGTTAGAAAGACCTTACTTAGGCAACCGAGTACTGTCAATAGCCCTTACACAATGACTCAAAATGTATCCCATAAATCCATCTAATAAATATGTCAAACTAAGTTTGAAAACTTACTTGTTTGGGATATCATTAAGTTCGTGAATGAATTCCATTAACTACATACATTTCGCATACAAATGAGCCAGAAGTAGTAAATTTACTGTGCACAAATGTACCATAATAATAAGATCACTCGTGAGTTTTATTGTCGCTATACTAATTTTGTCCCGACTGTATTTGCTACATTAAGATAATGGTCAGGTTTATATACCATGTGACCCGATCGAGCTATATTGTCTAGAATACTTTAGGTCCTACTGTAGCGAACGAGAACACAAGAGGAGAGAATTGAATGTATTTGAATACAAAATTACAGAACATCTTAGTAAAATCTGAGAACCATACAGTAAATACTTCATTTGCAAAATATCGATAGTCTCAGAATTCGTTATTCTTTCGTTTCCACACCAACCACTCTTTGTTCTCGTTCTCTTTTCTTTGATCTTAACCTTCTGCTTCCAGGCATATGTACTACTTATATCTGTCGACACCAGTAGCACAGACCACACTACCATGTCAGAGAGGTCAGTCGGAGGACGGTAAGACTAAAAATAGCAACTTAAGGTTCGAGGGCAATGTCGTGCTGCTGATTATACTGGGATGTGACGGTAGTAAGATAGTCGCTTTATATAATTACCCTTTACGCCGATGTTGCCTCGGCATAATAGAAGCCATGGGTAAGAAAAAGTCGGCCGTAAAAATTTCACACATCTAACCCCATAAACTTTTACCGCTGGAGGTTAGGTATTTTGAAATACGGAGCTAACGAAAACTTTCCATAAAAAGGCCGTATGTAAGGCCTACGTAAGATTTTGAGGACTTAACATGATACAAGACACTACAATACTTGGATTATGAAAATGGTGGAGAAACATACAGACTAGTGATCGAGGTACTTTGTCTTGACTAGGCATTTGCAGAGATTCTCTTAAGATTCGTATATTTTCTAGAGCAAATACTTTCAAGAAGTGAGCAGAAAAGCAAATTTCCAAGGTTGAATGATTTAAGCATACACTTTTTGTACATGAAATCAGCTTTAACTGGAAGGAGCTTACATCGATGATGGACACCAAGGCATGATGATTCGTAATAAAGCCTTCTTTTCCGGCAAGAGTGACGAGGGAAGTAGTCCATACTACTGGAACAAACGGTTGAACATGAATGGGACTAACACTCATAATATCCAACTCTTCTTCTGTAAGTATTCCTAAATAAGGGAATAGAATTCTAACATAGAATAGTCCGTAGATTATGTTTTTGGAAAACTATCACGTACAATTATAGTTATTTCTTAAAGTCATTTAAACTGTCAGGAAACTAAAAACAGTACTTCTAACACTTAATTAACAACAATACTTAAATATGGAATAGTGCTTTCCAATGACATACGGAACCCGAGTAACAAAACTTAAAAGACCAAACAACGGCCAGGCACATATAGTAAGTTGTTCGACTAAATTTTCAAGAAATGGGTTACATGCTGCAATTAACGAATGAAGGCGAAGAATTAGTAGACTAAGCTTGTGAAGACTGAAATTCAGAACTGTATGATTCGATATTGCTAATTGGCAATAGTGGTACACTAATCATGGTATATTGAGACGATATATACCTTACGTCACAATAATTTAGACTAAACAACATATTAGAAGCTTAAACACGGTTAGAAGAATCTGAGCATCCGGTTTCCAACAAACCAATAGTTAAACTGAGAGATGAGGCATTAGATTATTTTCATAAAAATGTCGAGTACCATGTGGACTATCGCATTTCTATTTATTATAAGTGATTTTTCCATCTGAATATAATTCCCACCAACAACGCAGACCATCTTTTTTAAAAAGTTCATACAGCTTGACCCTTTAATAAACGAAGAAAAGCAAGGTTATGAGGATAAGATAATTCATCCTACTGGGCTACTCGTCAGCTCTGAACAGACTAGAGTTAGAGGCGAAATATAGGGAAAACTTGTTTCTAATTGTTATTGTTTGTAATTTAGGACTCTCCAGGGCTGTTGAGAAACCTCAGAATGGTATGAATATTAATGTTTTTTAAATCTTGTTTTCCAGTAACTCATTTCAAAACGTGGCATCAGTGCTTGAAGTCACTAACTTCTAGTGTGAGCCATGTTGACAGATGCAGACTACGTGGTTGGAGTCCGCGCAACTATTGTAACCAATGATTGGAGACTCTGTATGACATGGCTCAGAATCTATCACAATGGCTCAGGTGTATACACTCTCTATCTTCCCTTAAACCTTAAGATTAAAATTGCTTCATATCCGTCTTTCTTCCTGTACTATATCCTTATATACAACCGTTCTTTTATATATTACCACCATTAAATTAACTACTTCTATGAATTCGGTGTTCATCTTGTTGTGCTAATGAGGTGTGGCAACTTGGACCGATGCATATATGGGCCTGGTCCTACGTTGTAGCTGACTGATTTAATCATTTCTCGATCAGTCAGTCAGTTAAACGTAGCGCAAAAACAGGCACATTTATCGATTACCTCATAATTCACAATATCAACATGCAATGATACTGATAACACTATAACTTTCATAAATAAAGCCCAACTTGAAAGCAGAATGACCAGACCTGCCGCGACGAAGAATTCTGGTGTAGGGAAACGCTTCTTGGCAATTAAGTTGAGACGTGTGGATGTCATTACTAGGCTTGACATCATGTACCGAAAGCATGTTCGTCGCATTAAACGAGCACGTTCAGAGTTTCCAGAAAGATGCCCAGAAATTGAAATGGCGAACTTTAGCACCCATGGGATGGTCATGAATAGTCTCCAAAACCTCGTGAAGACATTATCGATATAGAAGCCAAGAATGAAAGAAACTGGGATTAAACCTTGGAAGCTTCTGGTAAATATTATAATATCTTCAAAGGTTCTGAATGTATTTGAATATTTAAAAGAGAAATCAAACCTTTGCCATTCAGCTGACAGAGCGAAACGGTATACACAAGTGATTAATGCATACAGAGCCATGAAAACAATAACATCGATGTATATCAGTTTGAAAATACATCCTCTCCATCTAGAAAGTAATTTTAAACCATAAACTTTACTTTAATAGCAATTTGAAAAATACACCCGGGCCCCCAGTTAGGACGAGTTGGCTATATTGCACTGTCATTTGAAAGAGCGCTAAACCTTAAATCTAATCAGTTTCAGTTCTGAAAGGACAGAAGGTTATGTGTCCTGTGTCAGTCTTCGTAATGGCGGTTTCTCAGTTTATCCAACTTTCTCTTGAAATTGTTTACCAACGGAGGTAGAGAACTCCATTCATTGATGATTATATGGTAAAGTCGTGATTCTGCTAACAAGTAGTTTGTTCTGGACTTGTGAACTTATTCAGAGTGCCCTCGTAAGTTCGCTGTTTTAGAAGAAAAGAAAATTGAGGGCATATCAGATGCTAATATTTCATTAGGTTGTTTGTAGCTCTAAAAGGTTCAAATGGTTCTGGGGGGTATAAAAGTACCTTTCACTTGACGGGATTCCACGTCTAATAGCAGTAGGTCACCGATGCCTCAAGGTAAGAACCTAGGTATACAAACGAATAAAGAGGATAAAGAAAAAGAATTGGTAAATCATAGTGAGATACTGTCCTTAGTCCTTAGGAATATGTCAAATTGGCGGCCTGCTTGAATCCCTGGGCTACCTGTTTCTGCCATCTAAATATTTCAACAAGTTATCTGGGTTTTTTAAAATTGGTTTTAACCTATAATTATGTCTCTTGATCGCATAACCTATACAGGCGCGTTTATGAAAAGCTTACGTCCTTTCGCTGCAAAAATTACAAACAAGTACAATAAGAGACATTGTGGTGTTTGGCAATATGCTTTAGAGAGAATAAACATTAATCAAATGTCGATTCCCGAGCTGCTTAACTCTAACTGTCGATCTCTAATTAACAAGGTGGACTATCTCCAATTTCTGCTAAGTCAAAACATGTATCGTAATTGTGGTGTCATCACAATTCAAGAATCTTGGTTGACTGACTTACAGGATGATTGCCTAGTATCATTACATGATCTTAATATCCATCGTCAGGATCGATCAAACAATAAAAAGACCTGTGGTGGCGCAGTAGCTACTGGTTTTTTTTTGTTTTGTGTTTTTTTGGTAAAAAAAACTTGTTGAAATAACTCGTGCTGAGAATTCTATATTGTACCAGATTATAATATTGAATAAAGCCATTAATTATTATTATATTTAAAGCCTTCTCTTAAAAGACTCCTGGGAAGTCGCTAGGGCTAGCTCAGCCGATAGCGAATTCTCCAAAATCAATAACTCTGTATGTCTTCAACATTTGACGCATTAGTTTCACTGGACTCACCTGAAGGCGCTCTGTCACACGTTCACACCAGTTCACGAGTGAGTACGCCGTGCCACACATCCTCTTCAACTATTAGCCAGCTTAGACCAAATGTTCCTCGACATACGGATAGCCTTCCAAATATGCCTTCAAACTCCCTCATTTCTGACTTCTGATCTGACCGGATTAGCATGCCTTGACAATAAAGATGTGAATTTTAAAGGCGTTGTCAAACTCCGGATACTTTTGACATCTTTATGTTTAAAAGCTGTGATCAAATCACATCTAGTTCCCCTATATGACAAGGAAAATAGGTTTAGTTTAGCCAGTCGAGCATCATACGGGAGCTATGCATCTCTGAGAATCGGCTTAGTTGAAGTATTTTGAACCATCTTAACAGCTCGCTGTCTTTTTTAGGTTGAGACTAACTACTTGTATGCAGTTCTCGAGTTTGCGATGACCGGATATGTATACAAAGTCAAAGAAATTTTAGCATCAACATGCCTAAAGGCTCTACGTATTGACCATACGGTTCTGAAACCTATGCATATGTAGATGCAAATGTAGTTTTTAAATCTCGGCTTATGCTGACTCTTAAGTCATTGTGCGTCTGGATCACAGGAAGCTCAATGTGATTCACATGTGTGCATCTGTACCTTAATGGCCAATAGGCATTACAATGCCCTTGGAAGCATCTGTCGGCAACTGCCGAATTTGAGACCATCCAGCTAATTTCTTCAGGTCATTTTGAAATTCTTAATTATCACCTCTACATTTTATCGCTCTCCATATCTTGACACCGTGAGCAGATAACGAGACCGGTGATGACAGGAGAATAAGAGGGCCGTTTACGAACGGAATGGACAACACTGGCCTTAAAACTGTGCCATGAGACATTCCGTTAGGCCCAGTTTCCCGACTAGCCAACTCTGAGTTCACTTGTACTCCTTGTTGACAACCAACTACGAAATCTTCCTTCCACATTAATAAATTGCCTCTAATCCCGATATTACTTAACTTTTATAACAGCCGCTTGTGAGGATCTTTGTCAAACGTTTTGCTGGAGTCAATCTAAGCTACATCAGCAGATAAATTTTCATATATAAGAGTCCACCAACTCTCACTGGTAGCTAATAGGTTAGCGTGGCATGCAAAACCTGTTATAAAACCATGCTGCTTTACAGAAAGAATCCGGTTTTCGTCTAGACACTTGAACAACTTCCAAGTAGTCTTTTCTAAAATTTTAACAACCACTCTAGTCAGCCTTACGATAGTTTTCACGTCTGTGACTCATACCAATTTTGAAGATAGGACTTACTATAGCATTCCTTCAGCCTTTTGGTAATCGGCCCTGGGTTACAGATAGGTTAAAACATAATCCCAAGGAACTCAATACAAACTTTGCTGATTCCTATAATAAGCTAGGATGCATTTCATCGGGTCCCATGTATGTTCCTATTTCAAGCTCAATTAATGATGACATACATATTCTTACGTGAGGCATGCCAGTTTACAGGCAAGTTCAAATTGTTACAGATAATAATAATAATATATTTCTGCAAGGGCAGGTACACACCATTTTTACAGGCATGATCTAAAAGTTACAACATTTACTAGTTTACAGTATGCATCCCGAGCAGGGTTATTTCGTAAATACAATCTATAAAAGTTAATGACAGTTCATTCGTTCAGATATACTGTGGTTGATCGAGTTTTGCAAGCGCAACTATCGGAATTGGCTGGATGTGAACTGCGAGCCATTGTCTGTTACTATTGTTTCTGGAAGACCATGCTGAGCGAAGATCTGACTAAGGAGTTTGATGGTTTGAGTTGTGGAGGGTGATCTCTGGCCATTCGGAGAAGGAGTCAACCAGTATAAGATATGTGGTACCATCTAGGGGTCCAGAGAAATCAATGTGTACTCGTGACCAGGATTTTTCTGACTTGGGCCAGGGTACTGGTGGCAACTTAGGGGAATGTTTCGCAGCTGTTTGACAATGTGAGCATCTTTTGACGAATTCGACAATCTGCTTGTCCATGTTCGGCCAATATGCGTAACTCCGAGCGATGGACTTCATACGGTTTATCCCTGGATGTCCAGAGTGAAATTGGCATAGGATCTTGGCACTTAGGGTTGTTGGAATTACTACACGATCACCGAACATCAGACAGTCGTTAACAACACAAAGGGCGCTGCGACGATTCGCCAGATGTTGCATCTCACCACCGAACTGCTTAACTGGCCATCGGCTCTGAACATAGGTTATTGCCTCTTGAATGATCGGGTCGCTTCTGGTAGCTTCCCTAAAGTCTTCAACTGTAACAGGCATTGCTCGAACGGCATTCACCAATAGTGTAGCACCAGAATCATCTTCCGTTGTGGAAGAAAGTTCGAGACCAGACTGAAGGAGTTTAATGAATTTTTTTGGAAGTCTGCAGCATGCTGTTGTGTAGTAGCAGGAGTTTGTACTTGATTACAAATAGTGCTGATGGGAAGATTGGCAAGATCGAGTTCTTCGAACCAATCTAAACCCAGAAGGTTGAGAGGGGATTTGGTGATGTAGCATGTTCCATTGAAGGTTGTACCTCTGAACGAAATACAGCAATCAAGTTCACCATGAAGACTAAGATGACCTCCACATGCACTAACGGCTGTCTGCGAAGATGGTTTGATGGGCGGTTGACACAAGGTTCGCCAAGTTTCTTTCGACAGAACAGTGGTATCTGATGCAGTATCCAACTGCAATTGAACTGGCTGACCATTGATTGAGAGGGTTAGAAATTTGCGTCGCGTGGCGGCTTGGGTGTGGAATACTACTGCTAAACTCCTTGATGAGGGAACCTGCTTATTAGGATAATGACGCCGCGTCTGTGCATTTCGACGACTATTGGGTCGATTGGATTGGTGAAAACCGCTTTTGTGACCGCACGCCTGCTGTTTGAATGGACAAAATTTCACACAATGTCAGGCTCCACAGTGGAAACATGGTGAGGGGGGCTTCTTCTGGGCCGGTCTGGAGTGATTAGAGAAAGAAACAGCACTGACTTTCGAAGGACCACAGGTTGTATATCTCGGAGAGTCGTTCTGACGCCGGACAGCGTGAACTTTGAAACAGCCCTGGCCCCCAGATTGGACCAAAGTGGTGTCACGCTGCAGGTTGATAATGCGTTGATACTCGTCGGTGATCTCATTAAGTGTCAGGGTTGAGTCTTGTTCAAAGCGGTTCAGCAACCGGGTTCTGATGTCGGAGAATTGGGGTGATTGAAGACTGCATATGAATACGAGGGATTTCAATTGGTCGTCAGTAACGGATTTGAGCTTCATCCATTCGCATTCACGGTTGACAACGACAACATGGGTTAAGAAGTCATCAGACTTATTCATGACCAGTTTTAAGCAACGATAGAGAGTATTAAAGAGTGAATGATGGTCACCAAAAAGTTGGCTGAGAGTTTGAATAGTGGCATCGCAGGAACGGTTCTGTGGGTTCCGCGGTAGAATGAAGTCGCATTACTTATCAAGCTCTGATGGACCAAGTTTTCGAAGAAGACGCACCTTCCACGAATCATCTCTGTCAGGAAGGTCGACTTTAAAAAGATCTTCATAACGTCTGAACCAGGTATCAAATGTGATATTCGCATCAGGATCATAAATAAACTCTGAAATACCACTGGTAATACCGTCGACTGATTGAGGAATTGTTGGTGTACATGAGACTTGAGAAGAGATCTGCGTCTGAGTAAGCATCTCCATCAGCTTCAGCCGTTGTTTGAACAATTCTTCTAATTTGACTGGATCCATAGCTAGTCACCAACTTGTTGCTAAATCTCCGTCGCCAAATATTACGTATCGCCATAGGACTAGTCGAAATTTCTAACGATTGATGAATTCAGACATCCCAGTACGACCCCAATACGGTTTACCAAATTCCAATAAATCAGAACACAACCGTTAAATGAGAATTATTTATGGAGTCAGAAGCAGAACGAAAATAATTTACAGACAATGCATATTTATACAGTTAGGATGACCGTGAACATTAACCAATAGGAAAACGACACGTGGAATTTATAGTTAGGACAACTGTAAATATTGACCGATAAGAAGTGACGTGTGAAACATGTGAAAAATCCGAAGTTATGTAAAAACACCACTTTAGACTCAATATAATTTTTGGGACATTCTTGTGAATATCCTAACAGTATCCAAATACAATTT